TGATTTGATATTTAAGATAATTTGAGAATGATGGTAAATAATGATATGTTTTTGAATTGTGGATTCCATTTTATTTGATCTTTATATGGCTTATTTTTACAATACAGGTGCAGCATCTTTCAAATTTTAAGCACGGTGGTATAATTTGAGAATCATGATCTTTTTTTTTTTCTTTTACAATACGCCAATGCCTTTTCTACATTGAAGTTCTCAATTTGGGAAGTGTTAAAACTAGTAGATTGTTCAAAGGAGTAAAGACCTTAAGAGAGAAATGTTGATCTCTTGGTCTCGGACTAATTAAATCTCAGTTTCTTAATGGGTCATATACTGGCCCAAATAGTTTTACAATTTTCCTGACCGTTTATTTTATTTCAGTATTTTTTACGCAGCAGGCCCAGCCCGTGTAGATTACATTAATGTATCTGATTCCTTCATGACGTTTGATTGTTTGTAACCTCTCCAAATTCCAATGATCGAATTCCTTTGTTGCTAAATAAAAAGCTAAAACATTGATACGTCGCTAACCATTAAAAAAAAAACAAAAAAATTCGATACCTTGCTAGACATCATGATAAAGAAATACTAGCATCTCTTTTTTGCACTCTTTTTTAAGATTTGCACTCTTTTTTAAGATTTATGGAGTAATTGGTTAATATATTAATTATTTTAAATTTTAAAAACTTAATTTATTACACGCAAATAATAAAAAAACACATGTTATATGAATTAATAATACCACAAGTGTTGATGAAAAGTATAAAAAAGAAAAAAAAAATGTTGCTATCATACCTTCTTACGAAGTATGAATAAATAAATCATTATCTCAATGTAAAACAAATAAAGAGAAAAAAAAAAAAGGCAAATTATGTAGATAATCAATCTGAAAAGCCACACATTTAACTATTATGGCAAATCATCCAGAGCTTCAACCATTTTCAAGATATAAAACCACTCACAAACAAAACAAACAAATAAAATCAAGAAAAAAAAACATGGCAGATTTAGACAATAAGAAACAACACAATGTCTGTTGCAACACGGAACGTGTACCAAAAAGGAAAAGAAGTACAGGAGCTGACATCTTTCCTCTTCACCATCATCATCGCCAACAACTTTCTCATTTACGCCCAGCTATAATAAGCACTGCAACACAAAGCTTATGATTAATATATATAAAGAAGGAAATTAAATATTTATAAAGTTAGACAAAGAATGAGTTAATGAAAGAGTTACCTACCATTCATTTCTTGGTGCATTGAAGCCGTTACGCATATAGTAGTCCGTTTGAAAACTGTGCCTTGGTACAGAGGACATGTTTAAGGAGTCAAGTATGACATGATCAGCTTCCGCTATGTCCCAATCCACCAATATCTTCACCTCCTGCAAATTTTGAAGTTTCACCTTTTTAGCCTCGCCCACATTGATTTTATTTCCCACTATTTTCATTGAAAGCACGAGAAGTTTCTTCAA